GGTTTAAACCCTCCCTTGGTCCTCAAGTTTGTATGAAAATCTCAGTTGGGTCCTCAAGTTTTTTTCTGTCTCAATTGGGTCATATTTTTTGTAAAAGTGAGCACATTGTACCATAACCGTTAAGTGGTGTGAGACGGCGTTAAATTGGTGTGAGCTGGATTTTTTCATTTACTGACGTGGCATTGTGCACTAAAATTGAAAGGCCACGTGGTGATGTTTTGACTAGAACCAGATCTTCTCCTCCCTCCCCCTCTGCTTCCTTCCATCGGCGCCACCCACCAAAAATTGTTGTAAATTTGCTAGCTCTTATATCTTCTGGATTGTAAATTAGCAGGTTTTGCACTGTGGGAACTGTTATTCTGTGCAAGAAACTCTCATTTTCAAGTTATCAGTGTTTTGCTTCAAGTGGGTAGGGTAAAGTAGTGATTTTTGTGGCCTCAGGTTTGATTTGTCGAATTGAGGGTTTATCTGATAGTTAGATTTTGTATCTTCTTGGTGTTTTATGGATGGGTTATGTGTTTTGTTTTCTGATTTGTGACCAAATCTGGGTTGCTACTGTAGCTAATGTTGTGATTTATTTTGTGTGACATGAGTTTAGTGATTATGGGTACTGAAGAAGAGGATAATAAGATAGAAATATAGACAGGAAATTTTATGACTTCATACTCTTTCCGTAATCTTTTCTGTATCATCTAATAACTTTTTCTTTTCACTATTTATTTGCCTTCTCCCCTCATTGCTTCCATATTCTTGATGATGATGATGATGATAGATCTGGCATACCTTACAACTAGTTATTCTGTTCTAGTCCCTTTCCTCTTGATCACAGTATCTAACAATTAAAGTCCCGATTTTGCCACAATTTGAAGAGGATAATAAGATAGAAATATAGAAATCTGGGAATGCTGATAACGGGGTGAATGTATTGAGACCGGGAACTGGTTCTGTGAGAAGGAGGGTTAGTTGGTTAGTGGGCATAATGGGTGGCATGTGTTGCAAGCCCTCTGCCATTGAAGACAGTAAGGAGAGTCCAAGGGAGCGTTTATCGAGCAAGGCTGTGTCGGACTTGCGTGTATCTAGGGGAACTTCATCGAGGAGGGAGGAAGTTTTTAGGGTAAAAGATAGATATGATAACAATGAGGGAAGAACGACATTGATTGATAAGCAAGGGAATGGTTCTGCTAGAGTGCAAGGTGATAGTATTGAAAGAAAGAGGGAGAAAATGGAATATGCTGTTGCTCCACATCCGGGGATTGGTAGTGTTCCCAAAGCCATGGAAGGTGAACAGGTTGCAGCTGGGTGGCGCCGATGGAAGGAAGCAGAGGGGGAGGGAGGAGAAGATGTGGTTCTAGTCAAAACATCACCACGTGGCCTTTCAATTTTAGTGCACAATGCCACGTCAGTAAATGAAAAAATCCAGCTCACACCAATTTAACGCCGTCTCATACCACTTAACGGTTATGGTACAATGTGCTCACTTTTACAAAAAATATGACCCAATTGAGACAGAAAAAAACTTGAGGACCCAACTGAGATTTTCATACAAACTTGAGGACCAAGGGAGGGTTTAAACCAAACGTAATATATAGAAAGTTCTCTTCATATTTCAATTTCGTAACCCATGCACTCTCTTATTAACATCAAGCATATGATATCAAAAGCAGAAATAATTTTAACAAAATAGAAAATACTCCTATCCAGTTATTTTAACAATCACTCCATCGACCTCTGCTCCAAAACTCCTGCAAGATACATGACAGTTAATGGAAAAACTTTCTTCTGATTACTAGCTGACAGTTATCACTAGTCACATTATGAGAAAAACTGCACAATTAAAGTTTTTTTTGCTTTAAGTAACCGCCACGCACGCTCTATTCAGAGCTTTGTTATTGTATTCATTACATTTACATCCAGGGGTGATAACAGGTTCAACTCTGAAGTTAGTGCATGATGCTCGTCTGATGCAACAAAGACAGTTAAAATGTGTGCATAAGATAATCTCATAGACAGTGTTGGAGTGTGTGCACCAAATTTTGCAGGAATATATATATATGTATAAACTTTCAGTATCTATATCAATACGAGACAACACTCAGGAGGCATGGGGGCTTTATATCTTACAATCAGTATCTAAAATAGAGACGAAAAGTAGCAAGCAGTAGAAAACCAAGACAAAGAATTTTGATATTTCTCTTGCCTGGGAAAAGTAATTATTACATTGTTGGGTATAGTCATGATGATTTTATTCACATGGAAAGAAAAAATATCTTTACAAAAGCAAATGACTTCGTCATTTGCACCCTTTTGATTAGAGCACATATGAACAGCAAGCAAGGTAGATTTTACAAAGAAGGGAAAAGCCAGAAGTTAAACAGGCAAGAGGCTGATGAAAGAAACCAAGACAAGAAGGCCATAGCAGCAGATAGTTGATATCTACCGCATAGCTTTGCTGGGCAATAGGATCGATCGGCATCGAGCAGCAGATCTGTGACACTGGCTGTTGAACATGCTGCAGCTAATGACAGATATGACAAAATCTGGAGTGTACAAAAACTGTAATATCATTAGTGCTTTAGTATAGCATGGAAACAGTTTTTGAGGTCACAAATTGCACGTACCATGTCTCCCAAAAAGACTATCATTACGAGTCTTCGTTGGAGGGGTAAACATTTTATAAACACAGAGTATGCATCCACAACCAACAGTGTTATGCTCCAGGGAATTACCAAACCCATGACTGTTACCAAATAGCTGTGAATACCATAAACAAACACAGGTAAAAACTCAACTCAAGCACATCCTTACAAGATAACCTAAACAGGATATAAACCCTCAGACATTGCCAATGCAACTTTTGAAACTGGGAAAACATGCGTATACCAAAATCTTTTACCTTCTGCAAGCTTTATACATGAACAACGACTCCACAAAGAAATATGTCGTGTTATCACTCTCAAACCATGTTGAAGTGAAAATATAGAGCGATTAAGCCAGCATCATAGTTATCATAATTGCGATAAAATTGCACTACACGGATATGGAATACGAAAATAAGAAACATTGAAGTGAAAAACGGAAAAACAGTGCCGTCAACATTGAAATTCACTCAATTATCCAAAAGGATTTCATTTCAACAAAAGACAACTTGAAATAGTTCATTTTTATCTTTTCTACTTAAATGCCCCCAAAAAAATATAACGACTTTCTACATGCCAATTCAATCTGATTTATCTTCACCTATAAACATGTGCACTTCCCCAAACCACAAATCAGAACCTAATAATATTCAATGTTTCCAATAACCCTCTTTAAAGTCTCATAAAGGCATTTCAATGCAAAAGTTGAAAAATACGGATCAGCGGCAACAGATAAGAACTCACCATTTCAAAATGTGATTTTTTTTTCTTTAACCAGTTATTCTCTCGATTTGTTTTTAAGGATAAATTTTTTAAAGATATTTGTTTTTATTTCAGCGTTGTTTTCAAAATCTAAGATGATATTAATTAACCATTTTTATTGATTTAAATATATGTATTTATTGCGATATAGAAATAAAAGAATAATTAAAGTAAAGAAAATTTATTTCAATTCTTTGAAAGAAAAAGGGAGTAATAACCAAGAAACCCACTCATTAACTGTGTGCAACCCCCAAAATTAATTGAATAGGCCACTCAATTTTACTGACTTTCTTCCACAATCCCCCCCTTACCTTTACTCATGTTTCTTGCCCACAGTACACCACTCTCTGACACACCAATCACAAACTCACATAAATCCTCCAACACTTAAGTTCTGAAACAATTCATGACAAGCACAGATACATGATCTCAAATTCAATTCTTGCATAAAACTCCAACATCACGAAACAAAAGCATCCCCAAATCAATTACCCTTTACAAAATCAGATAATGGGGCATGATGAAATCGGCAAAAGTTACCGAATTTGGTGAAGCAGTGAGTGACAGAATAAGAAAAGACCCCCAATTGGGCATATGAAGAAGATGAACAACATGACAAAACCAAAGTTAGAAACAGAGAGAAAGAGAGAAAGAGAGAAAGAGAGAGAGAGAGAGATACCAGAAAGCAGTGTAACCGTAGAAATCAACATCCAAACACATGAATAGAAGGGAAGCTGTGGAAAAAACTGTTTGACCCAATCGGAGAGCCAAACTGGCGCTGCTTCCAAACGCCCCTGGCAGCTCCTCCATTCTACCATGGTAATTCAACCCAAAACATGCCCGTAACATGAACCACCTTAAGATTTCAGAGTAGTATTAAGAATAATAATAAGGTCGGGGGTAAGAGTGTTTGTGTATGATGTGTATTGTAAGGGTAAGAATTAGTGTATGAAAGGCATAAACGAATAACAATAATTAATAAATAATGTGATGACTAATCTCAATTGGAGAGGCGAATGAGTTCTTGCGATAAATAAAGTAGGTGTGGATGGTTCTTAACCGCTCCTTCTCTTTCTTCTTCTTGTTTGGAATTAGGTTCAATGGTTTTGTCGGCGCGGTACCTGGCTGGATTCGCTTACGTGGCACTTAATCATTCTGTCTAAACTGTACTACAAATAATTGCCTAAAAAATAACAACCAAAACTATGAAACCAAACCGGGTTGTAACTTCTTCACTTTAACACCACACTGTACAATTAAACCGAACATTTAAAATTCTCAGTTTTTACACACACAGTTAGCATAGATACCCAGTTTCAGTGCCCCCATAACAGGAATCTGACCAAAACCTGTACTATCAATATGGTTGACAGATTTTTTTCTTTAAATATATAACCAACTAATATATATTAAAAACACTTGAATTAAATTTACTGATTAAACAGAAGATGTACTGCGTACTGTACAGATGTACTCAATTTTTTTTATTTCACACACATATAAAATTATGCAAATAAATAGTAGTGCAACAATACTATATTTTTCTAAAAAATAGTCAGTTACTTCTACAGAATAGGTTAATAACACCCTTTTGAATTTATAGTCTAGCTTCACAACTATTTTTATTAGTTTTTTTATTTAGTGATTGAATTTATATTTTAATTCAATATTTTATTATTATATAGAGTTGTTAAATGGAAATAAGAGAAAAATGTGATTGTAAAATTTTTTTTTTTAATGTTTATATAATAAAAAAAATATTATCTATTATTTTACTATTCTGATGTCAAAATAGTTATTTATAAGAGAAAATCGGATATTTTTAAAGACAAAGAGGAAGTTGAGAAGAGATAAATAGATTATGTGAAGGAGAGAAGTTAAGTTTTAATAAATATATACCAGGATGATAAGAAGTTTGGAAGACTAAAGTAGAATTAAGAATGAAATCTTTTTATCATAATTTTATTTAAAAATTATTTGTTGAACTTTTTGAGACATTTTTTTAAGGTTTAAAGCATTTAACATTTAAAAAAATTAAGAACCTAAAATAATTAATACTAAAATAATTTTTTTAAAATTGTTTTTTTTTTTAATTTAAAACAAGGATTTTACCTGTTTAGCTGGCCGACATAGACCGAAGTAAAATGGAAGTGCTAAAAATTACGTGGTGAAAGAATTTCAACTTACGTGTATACATGGAAAAAAAACAAAAAATAAGTTTTATTGAGCATAAACTTTGGTCGTTTGAATAGCCAAAATGGTACATGAATCCATAACAAAATATGACAGGAATATTACTTTGTGTATATGCAAAAATCATTCAGACGGTAAGGTTCCTGGATGGAAGAGATTTGGAAGGAAGGAAGGAAAGAAATAAGAGAGTTATCATAATAAATATTTATATCCTACAAAGAAATTCTTAATGGAGAAGTGAAGGAATTTAATGGCCGTATCAAACAACAATATTTGGTTCTTATGTATGAGATGAAAGAGTAAAAAACAATTTGTGAAAGATGCAAAGAGATTTTAATGAGTTCATCAAAAAAATGGAGGTGATATATATTCCTTTCGTAGAGATGAAGTTAACATGGTTCAAACCAATAATAAGGCTAGAAGTCACATTACGAAATATTTTGTGACCAGGGGAAACGGATGGAATGCTGGCAAGGAAGCATATACAACAACTTTGGAAAGGAACTTTGTATACCAATGTTCGTTGTTGTTGACAGAAACAAAGAAAAATTGGGTGGAAAAACATTTAGGGTTATTAATTATTGAATACCAAAGACTCCAAAAAAATAATTGTAAGAGAAGAGGTTAGAAGCTGGAGGCATATACTTATAATATCATCATAATGTATTATCGAGTTGTTGTTGGGTTGTTGTTAAGTTGTCACCGGTAGTCGAGTTGTTATGGACCTATTATCGAGTTGTTGATGTTACCAAACTTATCATGTGATGTCGAGTTTGTCATGTATTGTCGAGTCTTATAATATATGTATTTTTTCGGTTTTTTCTGTTGTGCCTCATATCTTATATATTCTTTTTTTTCCTTTCCTTTTGATTACTTTATTATGTAATTTCAGGCACATGTTATTCTTCTCTTTTTCCATTGTCTTTTTCATAAAGCTATGAGATCCCACGATGGTATCAGAGTCTAATATCCAAACAACCCAAGTGGGTTGTTACCATGGTGAACTTGACATTGTAGAAGCTAATAACACTTAGGGTGTTAACAATTTTTCGACCCACGAAGCTTACTATTGGTTGTCTTTGGATTTTCAAAATAAAATATAACTCTTATGTGTGGATCGTTACAAGTCACGGCTTGTCGCCAAAGGATATAACCTTTAAGGTTTAGACTTCCTTGACACCTTGCACTAGTTGCCAAACTTACAATTGTTCTTTTCCTTTTAGCCATTGTTGTCTCTCAACATTGGTTACTTAAATAATTGGATATCAATAATGTTTTTCTATATGGTGATCTTTAAGAAGATGTCTACATGAAGATTTTGCCTAGCCTTCAAACCTCTTCCAAAATCAAGTTTGCAAATTGCAACAATCATTATATGGTCTCAAGCAAGTGGATCGTAAATGGTAGTTACACCATTTTACACTTTTCCATAGTTACAAATGATGTCTTTCTGATCACTTTCTTTTTCTACAACACATTAATGAGAAAATCACGACACTTCTCATCTACGCCGACGACATCATTATCACTAGAAATAACAGCGAGGAAACTCGACGCATCACCAACCTCATTCTTTTTTTCGTATCAAGAACCTTGCAGACTTGACATATTTCCTTGGTCTTGAGGTTTCTTGCAACTCCAAAGGTATTCATCGTAGCCAACGTAAGTATGTCCTTGATATGCTTGCCAAAACCTGCTTACTTGATAGTTCACCTGTGCCTACTCCTATGGTTCCTAAACAATCCTCTCTAGCTACTACTTAACCTCTGAATGATGTTGACAACAACCTCTTATCGTCATCTTATTGAAAGCCCATCTATCTTACCACCACTCGTCCTGATATAACCTTCATCATCAACCATCTCAGTCAATATCTTTCTGTACCCAACTTTTCTCATCAACAAGTTGCTACTCATGTCCTTAGATACCATAAAAGTATCCCTAGTTTTGGCGTTTTTCTTTATCACAAATCAACTCTTCATCTTAAAGCTTTCTACAACTCTGATTAGGCCACATGCCCTGTTACGTGATGCTTTATCACTAGGTTCACTATTTATCTAGGTAACTCCCTTATATCCTAGTGATCCAAGAAACAACACATTGTTTCTCTTAATTAGTTCCTCTGAGGCAGAGTAGTGATTTCTTGCAAGCACGACTTGTGAACTCCAATGCTTAACCTTCCTGCTTCACGATTTTCGGCTTCCTCTCATTTCTTCAACACTTGTTTACTATGATAACCAATGTGCGATACAAATAGCTTTTAATATGATTTTCCACGAGTGGACCAAGCATATCGAGATTGATTTCCATCTCGTTCATGAAAAGGTTGATGCGCGATTGGTCAAATTACTTCCTATTTTAGCATCCTTACCAATTTCTCATATTTTAACTAAACCCTTACCTTGCCATTTCGTTCATGAAATAATTGTTGCGTGATTGATCAAATAACTTCCTATTTCAACATCCTTGCCAATTGCTCATATTTTAATTAAACACTTACCTCCTCCATCTTTCCAAACTCTCTGTTCTAATCTGGGACTACAAAATATCTATTCTCAACTTGATGGAGGCTGATAAGATCATCATCATGTGTTGTCAAGTTGTAGCTGAATTGCTGTCGAATTGTTGATTTTATCGAGCTTATCATGTGCCGCCAAGCTTGTTGATAGGATCATCATCATGTGTTGTTGAGCTATTGTCGAACTAGTGATATTACCAAGCTTATCATGTGTTATTGAACTTGTCATGTGTTGAAAGCATTCGCAAAATATTAATATAAATGAGTTATTGGTAGGACGAGAAAAAAATAGAAGTAAACTTATTTCAATTATAATACTTTTCTTAAAAGAACATTTACTACCAACATATCTGATAATAAAAAATCAAAATAGGGAACTTGTTGAGTTCGAAGGTTAATTTTTTCAAAAGGTGATTTGGTATGAAGACATTTTATATACACTTTTAACTCAATAATTTATATTATCAACCTTGCTTGTAGTGCTTATAAGCTCATCTTTAGAACAATTTTTGTAAATAAATTTTAGAATAGGATTTTGCTATAAATGTTCTTAATTGCCTGGGGTCTCTTCGTACCAAAGAGACTCCTTTAATAAAATGTTAACGACAATACTATTGTAATATAGTTTGTTATTAGATTCTGCTAATTAAAAAAGTTAACGACGATAATATTATAATATGATTTTTATTTATTTTATACAAGGTTGTAATAAAACTTTTGATACTGTAACAGTCCTGTAATATATAAATAATCAATTGAATCCATTCTATTTGTTATGTCAGTTTTAGGTAAGCAAATTTCTTATCAATTAGTTTTGTAAAAATAATTTAATAAACTTGGTTACTTATAAGTAAACAGTTAAACATTAAAAGTTATACAAAACTATTTTGAGAAACTGTAACAACACACACCCGTCACGACCCACATATCTTATATAAATTCTACACCAATTAATGCTACAAAGACAAAATAAAATAAAACACTGAAGTAATTGCTGAACTCACAAGTCAAGCTCTACGCAATAAGGCCATAAAAGGTTAGTTGAGTCGATTAGGTTGGGGTTTATATCCTAGATATAGTTTCAATTTATTTGTAATTTCAATTTTGTTGGTAAGTAATATGTTAGAGCTTTCATGTATCTATTTTTTATTTTGTTAATCCTATTTATAATTTTTTTTTATAAATGTAAAATGGTGAGTAACTTTTATTATTTTTATTAAAAATAATTTATATAATAAAGATAGTTCTATCAATGGTAATAAAGAATGACCTCTAAGATGTAAAAACAAAAAAACAAACATAATGACCTTTAAAATATTTTTAATAAAAAATAGTAAAAGTCACACGTTTTAACAGAATTTCACAAATTTTAACAAATGCATACAGAATAAGAATTTCAAAATTTTTAACAAATACATATATAATAAGATGATGAGATAAAATAACTATCATCCATATGATGAAAATATTAAACTACATGACAAAAAAAAGTATAAAAATACTTAATAAAAAAATTTTACACCTGAATAAGCTTTTAATATAAATTCTATATCATTCTTCATCTTAACTTTTGTATGTACTTTAAATGTTAATATTTTATACATTTATGTTTTATTTTAATTTTTAGCATCATACAATCATAGTATTATATTTTTTAATATTATTCTATGTTATTTAATTATTAAATAAATTTATTAATATCGGTATGTCAAACCATCCAACTAATCAGTTAAATAACAGTTTCATTTTAAAACATTGCAAACAAAATATAAAAATAAATCATTTCACTAGAACATGGTAGATCGAACAACCACTCGTTTGCCTAAAAGACCCCTTATGTTCTGTAGATTATCGTGATCTAAAAGGAGATGCTAAATGAATTGTAGTATTTCATTGACCATCCTAGTTGATGCTATATTTCAGCAATTTGGGTACTGTTTGTCTGTCTAATACCCCTCCCAATATGCTATAGTCTAATTACATAACTTAGTTGAAAATAGATCATGATGATCATAAACTGTTTGATAATTTCTCCGACCGAAAACTGAGAAAGTAAGCACATATGCTTGTGGTCAATCAACCGAATATAGAACATGAATAGTATCCTATTCAAGTTCATAGGATGGAAAAAGATGAGTTCTCTGCAGAGGTCAGTTATAATCCTCTTCAAATGCAGTGTTTCCTTGGTTATTAACATATTATATGTAACGAAGCATATTATACGATGCAATTGCAACTACTAAGAACTTAGGCTCCAAAACTCACACACGCCATCAATGTAAACCTTGAAATTTTAAGCATTGTAATTGGAGGTCGATATAATAATATACAACCATGACAGTACTCTGAGTAGTGCTAGGAAAGTTGGGTCAAGGGATAATGCAGCAACACGATGGAGTCACAACAAAATCTGAGCCAACAAAAAACACAAAACAAAGCATGAAAGAAACACTCTATGACTCAAGTTGAGCGTACCAGACGCCCTGGATCTTGACATCCTTTGGGGCCTTTGCTCCCAGATCAGTGTCAGATGGCTGAACACTCTCGAACACACCAATAACCTCACCAGTCTCAGGCTTGGTCTTGGTCACACTCAAGGTGATTTTTCCCGTGGATGACGAGGCACTTTTGTTGTTTTCCTTTGCAAGTTCTTCCTCATCTCCTCTTCCACCAGCAGGCAAAGCAACAGCATTGTCATAACCTGTGGAAGCACCCCTTCCCTTGGGGTCCAAGAAAGAGCTTCCACGGTATGATGGCACCAGAAACTGCCCCCCAAAGCTCTCTGGCTTCCCTGACGCCACCAACTGCTTGATGGTGAAGAGGAAGGGCACACGTTCGCCACCAGGTAGCTGAACCGTCACGGCTGCGTAGTCAATGCCATCTTTCTCCTCAAACTTGACTGTGCCATCGGGAGACACCTCAAAGGGTCCCTCGATCTCATCAAGAGTGTAGGTCAAACGTGTCATGAGCTTTGTGTTTTGGAACTCTAGTGGGGCGTTCTTGGCCACACCCTCAGCCTTCACTGTGAATGAAGTGGGCTCAAGGCATAACTTCTTGGCGTTGTATTTGCCTGCCTTAAAGGCAAATGAGTCCACTCCACCTTCAATGGTTGGACACTGGTTTGCTGTTCCAGTCCCCTTCACTTCCAGGTAGGTCTTGCTCTGGATTTCGTCGAAGGTTAGCCGCTTTGGAACACCTTCAGCACTTGCCCCCTGAAGGTTTTAATACCTCAGTCAAATTAGTTCTTTAAACATACAATATCACTTTGTTCAGACCACCTTTTCTAAAATATACCCATCAGTTAGCTCACTCTATTTTTGTTTAAAATCTATCAGAACTCACAAGGCCATGTCTTAGACTCTAAACAATATGATCTGCTGAATTCTAATAAATTTCATCCTATAATAAAAAGAAATCTAAAATGAGTGTATTGAAAAGTAGAACATATGTGCATACAATCAGTAAATTAGTCCTGAATGAGTGTTTTAGGACGGTGAAACTAGTCTTCATAACATGTTATACGAGGACTGACTTGACCGATGAATATTCTAAGTTGGGATTTACAAGGTTAATTACTATGCTTGGCACTGGCAGTGACCTGGCTTCATAAATCAGTAGATATCTTATGATGAATATTCATCACAAGACAAAATTAAACTACTGGCGAATAAAATCATTGATGGTTTCTGTGCAACATTTGTCAACCACATCCTTAATTAAATGGACTGTTACTACTTACAAGCCAGAGATATTCGTCTGATGTATCCTATTAAAACGTAAAGAAGAAAAGAAAAAAATTCAGCATTCCATAAGAAAGATGAACATGGGTGCTCTTAGGCCTAACCTTGAACTTTACTATCATGTGGGACTTCCCAACAAACAACATGGTATACAAGTTTTTTGGTATAAAAAATAGAAAATATGAGAGTAAAACTGTGGGGAAGTTCATGTAACAGTTAATGATAGAATAGGTTATGAAATTGGTAGAAAAGAAGAGCACGTACAGAGACAACAAGAGCAGAGGTGGCAAGGGCGAATCCTGCAATTTTGGTTGCGTCAACACACTTTTGAGCTAAGTCCTTAAGGTCGGTCTGAAGGGAGCATGAAAGCTTAGCTCCAGCAGGTTCCAAACCAAAAGCCTTTGAAATGGAGTGAGGGGACTTTAGCTGCAAAGTGTTGGTTCTGCCCAACTTGGTGGCTTGCATGAAAGTAGCGGCTGGTTGTAGTGA